AAAAGATAACAAGGATGAAAATACGGAAATTGACAAAATGTCATGACCAAACATTACTATTGTGATTTCAAAAAAAACATTTTCCCATGAAATCTCCGAAAACAGGAAACTAGCAATTTGGTCAAGTGCAATCCAAATTAATATTTGTTTGTCAAAATTTTTCTGAATATTTCCTGAATAAGTTGAAATGTTTAAAATCTCTCATGACGAACAATATGTTTGATATATATCTTAGTCAAAAGCTTTCTTTTTCTATGTTTTGTCGTCTATGCAAGGGTTTCCCAACTTGCTTCAGTGTTTAAAATAAAACTCATGAAGAATATGTACTTGCTTAAATAGTTAATCAAGTAGCATTTCGGTTTTCTAATCGATCCGCATTTCGTAGACAATAGTTGTTTCATACTTCAATAGAATATTCTAAAATTGAAAGAATAAGGATGTCATGTGTATTCTGTGTTTAGTTAAAATTTCAAAACTATAAATCCACAAGAAATTTAGTGGTATTGAGGCTTTTTCTATCATAGAATTAATATAGACTATCCACTTACAGTCAGAACTTATGTAAGCGCAAGGAAATCAAGTATGAAGAAGACACACGTGTGTAACAGGTAAACATTTTTTTTTTACATATCTTCAATTTCAACATAGAAGAATTTATATCAAATATTGCAAAACATATCAAATCTAATCAGTTTTACACTTGCATATCATGTACCGTCAAGTGCCCGTTTACCAGTACGTTAACGTATCCGTTTATTTGCGGTTTGAACGAAACATTTAACGGACACGTTAACGGGTGCGTTAAATAAAGCGGGCTTTGTGATATAAATGAAAATGAATGGAAACTTAACGGAGACATCAACGGGTCTATGAATTAATGGATGCTTTGTGAATATGCTTCTGTTCGTCGTTTCGCTTTAAATATTGTAAGGTTGTTGTCTGTTTGATTCAACCCCACAACAACTTTCCGTTATATTAAAGAAAAACTGGATTTCATCCAGTATATCGTGCACAATTTACTGATTTGATAAAAGATTTGGTAAACAATTTCTTGCTAATGCAACCACAAACTGACAATTGCAATATGTTACTATAAGTGACAGTATACCTACTGTCCCGGCTGATAAGGCTGCCAATAATATTATTATTGTTTGACGTAAATTTTACATTGAGGTTCTGCAAAAGGAAATCACCAATTCACCAACATTCCAACTGACTCCATTTTTGTTAAAATGACATCTGTAACAAACGTTAACTTTAAGCTACCTTTTTACAAGCAGAACCAAATACAATGAAAGTTCCAACTATGTACTGGCTTCAGAAGCTGCACAAAACACCTTACAAAAATATATTTATTTCGTCTTCAAGCCATTGTTCAACTACTAAACTGTCATTTCTACAAACTAGTACCCTTAGTACAATTAAAAACCTGGCAATAAATTGTTCAAAAAAGGCCTTTGAAAATAGTGGAATTAATTACTTTTGGAATGTCAAAAATTCGTTGGAAGTACTTGATAAATTGCATGCTTATATTGGTGATATCGAATCTGTTTAAAGTTTTGATTTTTCTACCCTATATACCACTTTGCCTAATAATCTCATTATGAAGAAATTCACAAGCTTATTAAATGGGTATTTTAAAAGTCAGATTGCGAATATATATGTTCCAACTCTTTAAGGTCATTTTTTAGTAACAACAAACAAAAGAATTAGGCCAATTGGACCTGCTTTGATACGATAACTGCACTTGATTTTTTACTAGATAAAATTTTTGTTCGCTTGTCACCATCTTATCATGTTTATATATCTATTGTTCGATTCGCTCGTGTATGTAACAACGTATTTGATTTTAACGAACGAAATCTCTGTATTACTGAAAAATTATTACACCACCGTTTTCGATATCACAAACTAGTCAAAACATTTACTTAATTTTATCATCGGTACAAGGACATCATTCGTAAATATAAATCAACATGCAGGCATCTAATACGTTCAGTACATCCAATCTTTTATGGTAATATTCTATACAAAGCACAAACATGTCGTCGTTCACCTAAAAAGGTAACCAAACCTTTAAACAGACTTATTCAGAAGGGATATAGTAACGACATTGTTGTCAGGTCATTCAAGATGGCATATTTTGAAATTAATATTGATTCACTCATAGGGTCTTTGCATCGGAAATAAACACATTTATTATAAAACCAGTTGTTAGCATGACACGGGTTATGTTCTTCTCATATAATTTATGATGACATTTTACTAAACCCCTAACGGGAGGGATTGTGCTTGGTTTCATATGATGAAGACATAATCTTTCAATCAGTTTAATTGAGGTCTGGAGCTGGCATGTCAGTAACTGCCAGTAGTCCTTTGTTAATTTATGTATCATTGTCATTTTGCTTAGTTTCTTCTGTAATCTATTCTGTATCGGACTCGGACTTCTTATAAACTGAGTTTTACTGTGCGTATTGTTGTGTGTGTTTATTCTACATTGGCTAGAGTTATAGGGGAAGGGTTGAGATCTCACAAAACATGTTTCACCCTGCCACATTTTTGCACCTGTCACAAGTCAGGAGCCTCTGGCCTTTGTAAGCTTGTATATTTTTTTTTAGTTCATTTATATGTTTCTGAGTTCAGTGTGACGTACACATTTCTGTTTAGGGGTCAGCTGAGGCCCGCCTCCGGGTGCGGGATTTTCTGGCTATGTTTAAGACCCACTGGTGGCCTTGGGCTGTTTTATGTCTTAAATTTTTCGTTTTTTGCCATGGCATTGTCTGCTTGTTTTCGTCTTATGAGTTTGAATATCCTTTTGGTATACATGTATTTCGCCTCTCTTATAAAATTCCGAGTTATGGAAAGGACAACATTCATATAAAAAGTTACTATGAATTTTTCTAAACGGAATTATTTCAATTTTTGCTCTGATAACAACGTTTTTTGACAAGAGAAATAAATGGTAATTGCTTCTACAAGTTATGGAATTATGTTTTTGTAATATTGTCAATGTCAATGTTACATTTTACGGATACTAAACGGGTTCGTTAAATAACTAGGGCTTCGTTGGTAATAATCAAAGTTGAATAAAGCTTAATGCGGATGTAAGCTGGTCAGTTAGTTAACAGATATTTGTGAATATGCTCCCAGATGTCGTGTGGGTTTATTTATTGTTAGGTTGTTGTCTGCTTGATTCAACCCTTCTTGATTAGCTTTATTTAAGTTATTATTCCAATAGGAACAGGAAACTTATCTGCACTACCTGCAAAGAAGACTGATAGGAAATGAATTTCGTGATTTATCGTTTTCTTTGCAGAGGTAAATATAAGCCCTCTCTCTCAAATCAAAATGTCTTTCTGAATAGTGAAAACAACCCATCTCAAGTCAAGCCCAAAGTTCTATTGTCGTTGTGAATTTACAATTACAATTTCCTTAACATTTTTTTTATTATTTTCTTAGGTATTTTCAACGTGTTATAGTGTGCTTTTTATTTGTCTTTGTATATTTTTAATCTTTACTGTTTAGTCCATTTTTGGTGGCTAAGTATTTATACATTCCGCCATTGTGTTATTGTGCTATGGTCATTTTTGTATTATTGTTTTTCATTTTTGCTTATGTACTTTGTCTATAGAGTGTCTATATGTATGGGCTGTTTTATGCTCTTTGGTCGGGTTTGTTATCTCTTTGAAGCATTCCTCATTGTATGGTTTGCATAGTTTACATGTTAAAGTTTTGCCATTTTGATTCAACATTTGTATTATACTATCAACGTTACATAAAGGCAAGATAATTGTCTGTGTTCAAAGTTTATTGTTTAGTATTCTGTTAATTTTAAATTGGTGCGTAGGGGTTTATACTCCAGTAAATATATCGAGGAATGGATTAAACATCAATAAAATTGCAACGGAAACAGCTTGAGTGTTTGTTATGTCAAATTGTCCTCATATTTGGTAGTCTTAAATTAAAATCATCGGTTGTTTTGTTTAAATCAACGAAAATTTAATATATGTTACTGACCGAAGGATAAGCATATTTTATAACAATTAAACTCTTTTTAAAATATCACAAATATGATTATTTAAAGAAACTGATAAAAATTCATCACCAGAAATTAAAAAAAAATTGACAAAAACTAAGATTGTATCATAATTTTTCGAAAAAATAGAAATCAAACATGTGGGCAAAATATAACTCTTCCCTAAAGATAACAAGGATGAAAATACGGAAACTGACAAAACGTCATGCCCAAATATAACTATTTTGAGTCAATACTAAGATTTTTATCCTAAAATTTCCAAAAAACAGGAAAACGCAAAATTTGTGAAATATAATGAAATTTAATTTCATTGTCAACATTTCCCTTATTGATACTGAATAAATTTAAATATTTAAAATCTCTCATGACGAACAATATGTATGATATATATCTTAGTCAAAAGCTTTCGTTTTCAATGTACTATCGTGTATGCAAGGATTTCCAAACTTGCTTGAGTATAAATAATACTTGCTTGCTTAAATAGGTAACCCTATTGCATTGCGTGCTGCCTTGAGATTTTCTTTCTAAACGGTCTGCATTTTGTAGATCACAGATGTTTCATACTTCAAAAGAATAGTCTAACATTTGAAGAATGTCATGTATATTCTGTTCAAATACAAACAGTTCAGTTTAAATTTTAAGAAATTAGTTTCAGCAAGAACTTTAATTGTTTTTTTTTTTTTTTTTTTTTTTTTTTTCTAAAATTAATATGAACGTTCCACACACAGTCTGAATCTACGTATATTTTAAATATACCGATCAAACATCTGCCTATTGCTGCAATGTAAACTATGAGTGACCGGAGAGCAAGATCACATTCTCTCCTCTGGAACTTGAATCAGGGAGCGATGGTATAGTTCTCTCTTTCTCTTTCTGTCTCTATGACTTTCATTTTAAATATACCTTCCAATCAAACATCTGCCTATTGTAACAATGTAAACTAAAAGTGACAAAAACAATTGATTGGACACAAGTACAAGATAGGCGGATCAAGTGACTTGTAAAATTAAGAAGTGGACAAATATATTCAGATTTAAAAAAAATTATCAAAGAATCCAGGCTGATGAAACTCCTTTCATGCTTTCTGGTTACCGACAGCAGTAACATTTAGTTTACCAAACAGGTAATATTTTATCAAGTATTTGAAAATATGAGGCTGTTTATGAATCTTGGTTTTTTTTCTAACAGAAGATGTTACATTTTTAGATTATACATGATTAAATTAATCAACACAAATAATTCATGCTAGCATTTTGCTAATCATTAATTTCATACATGCTTCCTCTTATGAAGAGAAGCGATTATAATGTCTAACCTTTCGTTTCCTTTAAATTACCTGGTACGGGTCTTTTTTTCAATAAATTTGTGTGTTTTCTTATTTAGACTTGTGTTGCTTTAATCTTTAATTTAATGAATTTGATTCTTATTGATATTTTTTATCAGGCTGATACTTATTGTTGTAATCATATTTAATTGAATTGCGTGCGTTTTTTTTTTTATATTTATTATACATTTTTGTATTTATTTTTTTTCTTTGTACAGAGTATAAACCACGAGAATGTACATCCTGTCTGTCATTGGTCTCAGTATTAGTCTTGTGTCTATAAGTATCATCACGCAAAGTAAGATATTTTTTCGATCGATGTGTTTAATTACATATTTTATATTTTGATGCCTACCATTTTGTTTCTATCGGTAAAAGTACTTCCTCGTTGCTAAAATATTAGAACACCTTCATTTTCAGATGTTTTATGTTCTTGTCAATGTTTTTGAGTTGTCCGATTAAAGACATTTATTACATTGATTGAAATGAAATATCACGATATCCAAGTAAATTAAATTATACCTTTTTCACCTGTGAAATAAATCAGATAATGTTACGCCTTTGAATTCATCTAATACCGGGTGTTGCTGATACATTGCGGATGACGTTACAATAAGAGTAGATGAGAATGCTTAGAACAAAGGGGTTTCTTGGATTTTCTACTTTATTTCCATTAAAAAGGTCCTTGATCAATGCAATGAAAAAAATAAGTCATTGGAGTTTTCTGTTCCACTGCATGATTCAGTTTTGCTCCAAGCGAACTATCATAGTCCAGAGGAAGAAACTTGTTTCTATCAAAGTACATGGTGCTTTTCTAACAATATATCTTAAGACTAAAGTGTGTGTATTAAAAGAGTGTATATCCTCATTTAGAGGCCCACTCAAACTTTAATTCGGTAAAATCAGTGATCTCGATAGTCAGTTACACACGCGATGACATTAAGCCGTTCGATAAAAAGAGGAAAATATTAGACTTGCAGACCTAAGCTGTTTGGAATATCATCTTAATAAATACAGCTATAATAAATATATTTGATAATACATTATTCAGGAGCTGAAGCACAGAATTGTTCTTACACAAACGTAGAGTCCTGTCGCTTAGCTTACAATAGCGAGAAAACACAGGCAGCACAAGACAAGAACAAAATATGCAGGTCAGATCTTGTTTTATAAAGAACTTGTTTTGTTATTTGCTCTCTTAAACATCGCTCATTTGATAATAGTTGTTTTCATCTATTAAATACACTACGCTATAAATGAAAACGAGGAATTGAGGAAAACAGTTATACCTTCAATAAATGAAAGTAAATATTGGTAGAAATTCAATTAAGAAATAATAAATTATTATTTTTCACAAATTTATAAAACAGTTATTAATAAAGATTCGTGCCTATGCTATTTCATTGTTTTGTTTATTTTAAAAACAGTGCAGTAAATATCTATCTGGAATGTTTGAATAAGGTTTCTACTGACTGTGGTGTGGATGCGAGTCAGACCATAACCGAAGCCAGAAAGGATCTATCCCAGTTCAGTTGTGGTAAGTTTATTAAATCTTTATTATCCCTGATTACATTGACGTGATACTAGTAAAGGGCTTCCTATTGATGTGTCTTGTGCAACTTGCGTCTTGTGTACTGAAAATACGTCTGATACAAATGTACATTTGACAAGTTGTTTCCAATTTTTCAGTTTCATATATAATAACGGTGTATTTTCGGTTGTCCCGCTTTTTAAAGTAATAGGTAAAATTGTAATGATATTATGTTGGACAATCGGAAAGATTTTTGGGACAATTTCGAAGTTGAAATGATGGACAATCGGTAATAGTTTTGAAAGTAATTCATGTGTGCAAGTGGGTATACGATAATTACTGATTATTAATCAATTTAATGTATATTATTTAGAATTAAACAGATAAGTTGGTGTTTACATATTTTATTTTGTTTTAATATGCTTATGTAACATTGAGATTGTAAATGTTTTTTTTTTAACAAATCAGTTTCCAAACCCTTCAGCCTTGCTCGTAAAAGTAAAAGGAAGAAAAAGAAGAAGAGTGGTGATGACGATGACAGCGATTATGATTGTATGTGTTTAAATTTAAATAAAAAAATTATAATTATAATTTAAAATCTCTGGATAGTGGTAGTTTCCCTCATCATGCTATTTGTTTTATAAATAAACCTTGCATTATAGATATCTTTTATAACTTATATGTAACATTATTTAATCAAAAGTGCATTTTGATTGATGATGTATTCCACAATTCATATTTACATTTATATCAATGTTATTACTGGTATGCTCAGCACTTCAATGTTGACATGAATAATCATTGATATGGTCATAATCATTAATCAACTGTTTACAAAACTTTTTTTTTTAAATACTAAGGCTTTTCTACCTCAGGAATAGGTTACCTTAGCTGTATTTGGCAAAATTTTTAGGAATGTTTGGTCCTCAATGCTCTTCAACTTCGTACTTTATTTGACCTTTTTACCTTTTTTTTATTCGAGCTTCACTGATGAGTCTTTTGGAGAAGAAACGCTCTTCTGGCGCAAATATAAAATTTCAAACCTGGTATCTATGATGAGTTTAATTGAGCTTTTGGTTTTTTTTTTGCAATTTGATATACTTTCCGTTTTGAATTTTCCTTGGAGCTGGCTATTTTTGCTACTTTACTGTTTACATTGTTTATTTAAAAAGATTTAGCATATAAAAAAAATATGGGACATTTAGAACTCTAAATTTATTTTTAAAGTTGGACAATTGGAAATTCCCCCATAATAATAGAAATAATTGAAGACACTGTAAAGTGAATAGCACAGTATCAAGTGAACAAAACCCATCAAAGGTAATACAAAGGTTTTGGCAATTTTAAGTACACTCCATTAATTTGGCACCCCGTTAAGTTTAATGAAAAGTCGGTAAATTTTGAAAAAGTTTCAAAAAATCAAAACTAAATTTCCCAGTATCGCAATGTTGCTCATTGTATTTTAAAACAAGTACTTTACAATAGAAATTACTTTCTTTCTATTGATTCAACCAAATCAAAAAATTGATTCAACTACTATATTTTGGATAAAATGTTACCATGCATTTTAAAACCTGCGTAGCTTTCAAATTTCCTTCGCACTAACTTGATGATTATAGCATTACATATCATGAGCTCATCATATTTGACTTCTTGGAACACGGGATTCATTTTCAATCAGTTTATCGGATACTTCCTGTCTAGCTTAAGTGAAAAGATAAAAAAAAACAGATTATTATCTTACTTTAAACGTTTTTCCTAAAACCAATAGTTATCATTTCCGGACCATCGTTAAACACATAAGAGGAAAAGACGTGAAACTATGCTTAAAAAGGTTCTCCAGTGATATATTTTGTACCTCGACTTTATATCCTCATCAGTGTTCTTATGTTGTACTGTTAGACCACTATATCCCAGGTTGGGGGAGGGGGGTGGTAGCGTTTTCAAACAAGTTTAACCCCGCCACATTATGTATGTGCCTGTCCCAAGTCAGGAGCCTGTAATTCAGTGGTTGTCGTTTGTTGCTGTGTTACATATTTGTTTTTCATTCATTGTTTTATACATAAAGCAGGCCGTTAGTTTTCTCGTTTTAATTGTTTTACATTTGTCATTTCGGGGCCTTTTATAGCTGACTATGCGGTATGGGTTTTGTTCATTGCTGAAGGCTGTACGGTGATATATCCTTGTTACCTTCTATGTAATTTGGTCTCTGGTGGAGAGTTGTCTAATTGGCAATCATACCCCATTTTCTTATTTTTATATTAAAATAGGTGAACCGCTAAAACGATTGTAAAGTACCTACTTAAAAACAATTATTTTTATCAAAGTTGCAAAAACAACTCTATAGCTCTATCTTTGGGTGACATGAGACGCCATTTCACCACAGAATTTGGTTAAACCAGACAATAAACATATATTATTTCCATTTGACACCTTTATTATTTCATTGTAGTTTTTTTTTTTTTTTTTTTTGGGGGGGGGGGGGGGGGGGGGGGGGGGGGAGTGTGTGGGCAATAAGAGTTAACGTTCAGCAAGTAATTATTCATTCAATTTTTAGCTGTTTTATATTTCAAGATGAACATGCTCAAAGATGTCTTGACATTTGTTTTTCTTTGCAGTTAGTGGTGCCGGAAGTATTTTCCTCAACCTAGGTGTTATTGGTTTAGGACTTACATTTTATACGCTTGTTTAGATGCCATATTTTTAAACATCAATATGAACAAACCACAGATACATGTATTTATTTACAAAACTGTTAAGGATTGAAGTTCTCTACCTCCTTCTAATTCACTTTGACACATTTGCACTGATTGGATGGATCGACTACAAAACGGACAAATGTGCAAAATCTTATTTGGACGCTTGGATAATTTTTTTGGCTTAATCTGTAAACATAGATTTCCGAAAATAAATGTATTTAACAGTTATTGTGATTGTTTTACTTTTTGTACATATATATAGCTATGGAAGTGTCCATCTAATCGTCCTACCATCCCATTTGTGTATCCATTACTGCTCTTGAACTTCTCAGAAGGTTCTACAGTGATATGTTTTGTACCTTCGACTTCATTTATTTATCAGAATAATTTAAGAAGATTTACTTTGGTGGTATATGGACTTTATTAAATAGCACAATACAGTTCACTTTGTATATTGCTTCTTCTCCTAAATCCTTTCATCTTAATTTCCGGAAATTACTCAAAATCCCATAATGTCATTGCGCACCGTAGGCTCTTATTTTGGATTTTTTTACGACAAGGGTATAGAAATATAGTCATCCTTGGATTTCTACGATCCGATAGTAAACCTTGGTACGAGTGGGTCTTCCGTTTTAAAGTTAGGGATGTATAATAAATACACATCCATGTCCGGTCAGAAATGGGAGTACCACGCTCTCTGCACGTTACGGAACTTTTGCAACAACTCTCTAAAGAGTCCATAAGTGCATGGCCTGTTTCAAGGCAAAATATTCGACCAATGTCCAAAAACCCTCATTTTCTAGTGGCAAGGCTGAACCCGTCTTTTGTATCAATTGTTAGTTTTTTTCGGCTTGAATATGCATTAGATATTTGGCATTTGGACATCAAAATAAGCATCAATCAATCATTTTAATATTTTGCTTTTTGATTCGAATTATTTTTGGGGTCATGAATTTGGTAAAGTGAGGGTTATTATGTTGCTCGCAGTACGTCTTGTTATATATTTTTCTATATAGACGGCTAAACATATCTGTTCTCTTTATTTTCTTCATGTACGATGTTGGAAATTTTGTAAGAGAAAGTCATATATAAAAATAAGACTGCCAATGATACAACTCTCCACCAGAGACCAAATGACACAGAAGACACCTACTATAGGTCACCGTAAAGTTTGCACAATATAAATTTCATTTCAACCATTCCCTCTTTCTCGCAATCAGATATTTTCGACATTTTTTATTTGTACAACAATTGCCACGGAATAGTTTTCTCAAAATAAAAACTATCTCATTAATAATTGCACGCAAAACTTTCTGAATGTAAAGTATTACATTGCTATTGTGGTAGCTTTTGATAACTGCATTATATAAAAATCATATCCCTGCCGAGTGCTGTCGACTTGGCTGTACGGCATTTATATACGTAGCAATATAAAACAAAGAGAGTGTGGTATGATTGCCAATGAGACAACTTTCCATCAGAGACCTTATTATGTAGATATTAGCAACAATAGGTCACAATACGGCCTTCAACAATGAGCAAAGTAAATGACCTATAGCAGGTCATGTTTATATTGTGTGCTCCCGGGAAGTATTGGCTGATCTACAAATGCAAATGTTAAAATTAAGATATAAATATTTAAACATGCAAACTATGCAAATAAACTCATCATAGATACCAGGATTGAAATAAATCATTCAAAGTCAATTAACCATGACTGAAGGGGCAGGGCATAATAACCTCCATTGATATGTGAAATGCCAATGCTCATAAAACTGCATACCATATACCATTGACCTGTCTTAAATGAATACCTTTAAACAAGCATAAACCCAAACTTTGAAATGTATACTATGCAAAAGTTTCAAAATCAATGAACCATGATGAGGGGGTGGGGTCAGATGATCACCATGGAAATAATACTTGCAAATGTCTATGCAACTGCATACCAAATAACATTGACTTAACATATTAGTCGTTTATCTTATACTGATATAATGACAAACTTTGACATGTAAATAATGTAAAACATTCAAAGTCAGTGAACAATGACTTAGAGGGGAGCCAAACAATCTCCATTGAAATGATATGTGCCAATGCCAATTCATCTGCATACCAAATATCGTTGACCTACCACTAACAGTTCCCCTTAAACTTGACCTAATAACAAACTATTGCATTGTTGACGCCGACGCCACCGCCGTTGTAAACAGCACGCTTAAATCTCGCTTGTTCGACTTCGTCGAGAAAAAACCCTAACAAAAACACAATAAACACAATAACAGATCTGCGAGTACACTCAGTTACTGAAAGCTAGTTCAAAGTAAGTAACAACTAATAAAAGTCGTGTATCCGAGACAAAAATATCAATCAACACCCAATATCCAATGGATTTAGTATAAAGTCGTCATTTACAGTCAGAGAAAACATGACATTGTGCAATGCCAAACTATTGTTATCGACAGATTGTAGAGCCATGAGTTTACATGCATGTATGTGTATAAAAATGATATTTAGTTTGGATTTAATCTACTGATAACAAAATCATTATTTATACCGATAAAACCAATATTCAAAGATATAATTACAGAGCAGAATTTGTAACCTTTTAGAATAACTTTATTTAAAGGATCTGTTTACCTGGATCTTATCATAATTTACGGGCTCGTAAAAATTAGGATGTGCTATCCCGTTTGAAATAAGTCACCGTACGAAATCCTTGACTCAATAGTACGAGTACTACATTGAAATCCAAATCGTCACTACAGGCTTAGCGAACGAGTTGGGATATATAAACACCATAAAGCCTGTCATACAAGTAATCCTTTCTGTTTTAACATTATTTTTTTTTTGTTATTGAAAACATCAAATTGATCTGTTTTGCTTCACAAATGCAAAAGAGAGGGAGGGGAAAGATACCAAAGGGACATTCAAACTCATAAATCGAAAATAAACTGACAACGCCATTGCTGAAAAAGAAAAAAGACCAACAGACAAACAATAGTACACAAAACAGTACACAAAACACAACATAGAAAACTAAAAACTAACCAACAGACAAACAACAGTACACAAAACAGTACACAAAACACAACATAAAAAACTAAGGACTGAGAATCACGAACCCCACCAAAAACTGAAGGTGATCTCAGGTGCTTCGGAAGGGTAAGTAAGCAGATCCTGCTCCACATGTAACACCCGTCCTATTGATCGTGTTAGTACAAACCCGGTGATAAGTCTAATTCGGTAGGTCACATTCGTGCGAAAAGGGGACGGGATTGTAGGTACGGCAATTAGAACATATCCGTTGTCATCTGTGAAACGGATATTCCATTACGGTCGACCAACTCGTGATAGCGTCCGTAAAATTAACGAAGAGATGCTTTCAACTTCACCACTTGGAACTCTTGGTTTAATATTTTCCTTGTGAGCAGTAACCCTTTATCAATGAAATCATGATAGGAAATACAAGCCCTGGAATATTGTATCAATTGGGAGATATGTACACCGTATGCAGGCGTTGCTGGAATGTTTCTACATATAAATGAAAAGTTCACAATTCTGAAGGTGAAATCATCTATGTCGTAAAGTTTTGTTTTTAACCGACCCTCATTGTCAATTTCTAGATGCAAGTCAAGATCTGAGGCAGATTTAACTGCATCTACATAAAGGTTTGCAGTAGTTCGGTTGCTGATCGTGTCTTGTATAGTTTTGTCTGGATCTTAAATATTCCTTTGGGTGTTTCTTGTATAGTTTTGTCTTGATCTTAAATGTTCCTTCAAATGAAAATTGCCTTTTGCATTCAGACGCTTTCAATGCATGTAACATACAATTATCAAAATATCGTGCATTGTAAAGATATGCGTTCTCATCCGTTATTAGCCTTGAAAAAGAAATTTAACTTTCTGGGTCATAATATTGTATTCCTTTATGTTTTATGTTTGCCAATTATCTGTAGATATGTACATTATTGTACATGTAGCTAAACAAATTCAACAAAAATTGTGTCAATATAAAAAGTAAGGAGATGTGGTTAATGATACCAGCCTTTAAATTTTGTGCTCGTTTTGTCTACAATAGGCTCATCAGTGACGCTCGAATCAGACAAGTTAGTTGCCAATGAGACAACTCGCGCGGGTTTTTTCTAGTAAATGTAACTTTGAAATAAAGAAATCTAAAAGGAAAGTACAATAAAATAAATATGTTTAGTAAAGCTTATACTTGTTAAAACTTTAAAGGTGTAATAAATTCACAACTTTTACAGACTGATATAGAGTCTGTAATATTATATAGACATATGCTGTACATTTATCTCTAAGGGAGCTACCATTTGATTTTTATGGGGGGTGTCTCATCATGCCTTTTTTATTTACTCAAAACTCCTGTCTATTTTTTTCAAATTTCCCCCCCCCCCCTAAAAATCAAATGGTAGCTCCCTAACCGGTTTTTAGTTATTTTTTTCGTTTAGTTTCTGTTTCGGTGACATTCACCCCAATTCTCCTTGAATTGATTTTAAATCAATGTCGTGTCAATCTCCTCTTACATGTTACGTCCTTATTATTGGGGAAGTGAAAATAAAAGGTTCTTAGAATTTAAAATAAAAGGTTCTTAGAATTAAAAATAAAAGGTTCTTAGAATTTAAAATAAAAGGTTCTTAGAATTTAGAATAAAAGGTTCTTAGAATCAAAAATAAATGGTTTTTAGAATTAAAAATAAAAGGTTCTTAGAATTTAAAATAAAAGGTTCTTAGAATTTAAAGTTAACGTGACTTTTAAGTACACTTAAAAATTGAAAGTAATAGATCGTCAATAAACACACAGTTGTGCATATTGTTGCTTATTAAAAACAAACTAAGTGTGATTTTATTTTTTGATTTGTGGTGAACGATTTCAGTAGTCAATTAGTTATATGAATATTACAATTACACAATGATATATGTGCATGCAAACTCTTTACAATTGCACATACATTTGAAATTTGATACTATTGGCTCTGAGAGTTTCTATAGTAAGGGCTTATAATATAATTGGGTCATTGTGTGTAACTTATTTCAATCATTTCAGTTTCATGCGATAAATATTTCTTATTTTTAATTCTGTAAACGTCTCAAAGTGTTTATTTTAAACTTGAAAACTCACTTGAAACAAAGTATTTGCACTGAGATCACTTATTTATTTTCATATGAAATAAGTGATATGAGTGGGTCTTAATTTCGTCGAAAACGACACAAACTATGAATTGCAAGTATATTAGAAGATCGTCCTCAGCTGTCTATTTCCGTAGCGCACAATAAGCTTTGAGTTATTTAATTCTAAAATTAAAATGAACTGTATTGTAATCATTTCATAGCATCTCTAATTTCTATATTAGTTCCTTAAACTTTAGTATATGTGTTCATTTAAAACGTAAGCGGTGCCATTTTTAATATGTGTACCAACAGTGAACTTAGGAAGAATAATACCATCATTATGTGATAAGTTACTTGAGGTTTCTTTTTTATCTGTTTTAGGTGATGAATTTAATCCCAGTACCAGTAATCTGGAGCCTTGTCCTTTATAACAATTTGTGATCTATTCTGGGGTACCAGACAATTATTTCGTATTGTAAACCATGATGAATTTTCAAGTACTTTTGATGTGTTGTACTTATTCAATTTTTCACATAAAGAGCACATGGCTCTGTAGTAACTAGCATAATACGGTCTGAATTTATCTTTCTCCTGCAAATATGACGAGTATTTTTGTTCATTAGAAGTAAGGCTTAATAAATAATTAGCAAGAATTTCAGGATTCTCAAAGTCAAATGCATTGATGTACGTTTTCCGTGGGACGTATTCATCAATATTCGGAGCACCTCGGATAACTGGAATGATACTGTACTTATTACTATAAATTGTAAATACTTTTTCTGAAACATAATCCTTGCATAAGGAGTTCTCAAATGAAAGGTAGAATTTATATTCTGTACTAATTTTATCCATACATTCAGTGCCATTTCTAGCACAAGTCAAATTACCACATTTTCCAAAAATGTCGACTGAAATATACTTTCGTAGTTCTTTGACATATTCGTCTCTACCGGATACGGCAAAACAATGACTCACTATCCAAGCTACCTGCTTTGTTTTCTTCCTATAAATTTCTGAATAATTTTTCTTCGCTCGAATGACTTCCTTTGCAATGCTAGCATATGGCATTGAAATGTCCGACGCATCGCCGTATGTAATTGACCAATTAAACTGTCCTAACCATGCCTTCCTCAGGTAACTCTTTCTCATATAAAATGGAGTTTCCTGTCCATATAAGAGCCATATCTGGTCAGTTTGTTTAACCGGAGGAATTTCTGGTAGATAATTATGTCTAAATATGACAACATCTGCTACCGCCATCTGTCCTAAATCAGTTGTCAATTGGCAATTATTGAATCTAGTACAGCCTCGCAGACTTATATTTGCCTTTTTCAGAAAATATGACGGAGAATAATGCCAGAGAATTTTATAAGTTTCATTTATGGAAAGCATGCGTCGATTCAAGAACGTCACTCCATCGTTCTTCTCGTTTGGTCCGCCAAGATACATCGATTTTATATCCATAAATCTGGGACTAACCAGTTTGTTTTTGCAACATTTGTTGAAGTTGTTGTAAGTAGAAAGCCCATGGAAGCATATTAAGCTACACACTGTTATTAACCAGAGGAAGTACTTCACTATTTCAAGGTTACGGTTACCTAGTTGTAAAAAAGAGTCAATAAATGATTATGATAAAAAAAAAATCGGTTCAACCTTAAGGAAATCCCTTTGCTCCGTTAGATTTGTCTGTCAAGGCATGTTAGATCTGAAAAGTCATGCCCAGTGACATTACATCATCCAATCAAATCGTTACCTTGTATGGACTATCGAAAACTTTGTCGATTAAACTACTAAGTATTTCCAAATAAAGTCCGGAGATTCTATGTTTCAATCATAAAATATCGCGACATCGTTCCCATTTTTTCCATAAACCTTATCGTAAATAATTCTTAACATAGCAAAGCAGAAATGAACGTTTTATTGTATTTTTTATCCATCTTTTTATCTAAAAAAAATCGTAAGTCGATCACGTGACAACAGTGTATCAATACAACGGCAATCTTCTGATTCAATTGCGACAACTGTTTTTGCAGGTAAATATTTTATGAAAAGTGCCAGCATATAACTCAAAATGATCGGTCGATTTAAAATTTTGATACAAGGTTATCTTAAAATGACCTTTTATACGGTATTTTAGATAGTTCACGCCTCGACAATAAATCCCACGGAGCAAAGATACAAATCAGATTCAAATCAGATTAAAATTAGATATAATCCGTTTATGAAAAAAACACACAATAACACAGCAGAAATTGAAATTTAGAAATTATTTGTTTAATATTGACTGTAACGATAACGATTTCAGAATCATACGAATGATGAAAACAAACATTATGTACTTATGATTCATGTCCCGCCCACAATAGAAGAGAGTCATTATGTGTTCAGGTCTGTCCGTGCTTCCATCCGTCCCTTATTAAGTATTAAGTTAAAGTTTTGGTTAAAAAAAGAGACGGAAGATACCATTCAAGGACATTTAATACACATCGGTCAAAAAAAGGTCGAAGAGAAACTGACAAAAATCAAAAGACAACGAAAAATCAAACAAGTCAACACCACTCTTCATAGAAAACTAAAGACTGAGTAACACGAACCCTACAAAAAAATGGCGGGGACTTTGGTGTTCCAAAAGGGTAAGCAGATCCTGTTCCACTAGTGGTACCCGACATGTTGCTCATGGTAATTACAAGCAAGATAATAATTTCCATTCGATTTATGGTAAATTGTTTATTTATGTTCATTATCAAGTGAACTGTTAATATATATATATATGCCAAAGTAGGCTTTTGACTCAGGATTCATGTTTCACTGAACATGTAAATGAGATTGTACAAAATAATAATTGTTAGTAATTGTTAGTAATTGTTTATGAATTGAAACTAGAATAAATATCTTTACGAGCTGTATGGTTTTTTTTTTCACTTTTCATTTTTGTTTATAACGTTGTTGGTTTGCTTTGTCTTTGATATATTTCTTTCAAGTCGGCGAAATAACTTGCTGTACGAATATCTTGATATATCATTTTCAAAGTTGAGAAAGTTGTCCGAGATTTATGTGTATAGCATTTTGAAATTTGTTAGATATTGGGATTGTAGAAACATTTGCCGTTCTAGATTAAAATTAACAAAGACTGAGTTTCCACTTACAATTTAATATGATCAGAAAGCTATATCATGTATATAGAAACAGAGTTATCTTTCGTAGGACACTGTTCTAGATATATTTTTAGCGCGTCTCTTTTTCGCTAGTCATTCTGCCAGTTTAATTTCCAGATCGGAATACAAATTAAACAATTTAATAGATTAGGAAGACCGATTGAAAAGACAGCGTACAATATGCCTTAACTTACCCTTTTCTCTCTTAATTTGCATTTCGTTAGCATATGAACATTCCTTAACAACATCTTAAAGTAGTAATTCTGTAAATATATATATCAATACAAAGGGATGTGGTATGATTGTCAATCTGACAACTATCCACCTGTAACCAGATGATGTAGAAGTTAGCAACTATAGGCCACCGTAAAGCCTTCAACAATGATCAAAAACATAATGTAAAGTAATTTATCTAAATAAAATGTGAGACAATTCAAAAACGAAAAAACCATGCTTAAAAACAATAAACGAAAAACAAATAGGGCGGACAGCAACCTACCACAACCACTGAATTTCAGGACTAAGGAAATGCTCATTTAGAATGTGGCTGGGTTAAACATCTCCCCTAATTAAGGACAACTGTGTAACGGGTTCTCAAATAAAGCACATACAATTTCCAATCTTTTAGTTCTTTTGATTTCTCTTCCATTGAATATGATGTAAAACACTTACAGGACCTACCAAAAATCGATTGATTTGCTAATAAAATCACAGAATCTGTCGCAATGTTAATTTCACAATTTCACCAAAAAAATCAAATAGTAAGAGCAGTGTAAATTTGTCTTTGTTTTTCTATGGAAATTATAATTACGATTAATGATTATAAATTAAAGTATTAACTTTAAGTAGAAAAATAGAAGAAGAAAAAACAAAACATTAATAAAACGGAAAGACGGTTTTACACTATTTAAATAATGGAATTATTTGAAACTTTAACTACTTTTATGTTGTCGATGTATTTCTGATTGATGATGTAAACCACAATTATTTATTAAATTATAAGCAAACAAAATGCATCTAATCCTAATATATGAATGAACTGTTTGCCACTGGACATTAAGAAATAAATGATAAATTAACAACTTACCTATCATATGTATCATAATCATATTGGATTTTTGTGAAATGAACAACCTTATTCGTGCAAAAATTCTCTAAATTAGAATGGACTTTACAAATTGGGCGGCATTAATTTTAGCAACACGATGGAAAGTCACGTTCCAGACGACTTCAAAATATTGTTGTCGTATATTTCTTTGATATCAAGATGTAGAATTGTAATGTTATCCAATACCTAGTGTATGCTCATTGGTTATTGAAGTTGTAACGAGTTGTTAAGTGCTGGGAAATTATTTTCAGTGGTAGATAACTTAAATTATGATTTAGTATAATGGTCTATTACCCTCTTGGATAAAGTACAGATAATTATGTTCTTTAAGATTTTTCATTCACACATTTTAAGAATATTTGACATATATTTTTAGGATGAATCTCTTTTCTAGTTCATAACTGTTTTGATTAATTCTCCCATGTAAACATTATACCTAAGTGTTCTTTACATTTTCAAACTAATTCATCAATTCTATGCCGCAGAAAGACAGCCATCAAAAATGATTAAATAATAAAGATGAAATACAAATAACAGTCATTTCTTTACGACATAGAAAACTAGCGGATAGGTCAATACAGATCCTACCAAACGAGAGTCAAACCAACACTAAATAGGAAAAGAAACTATAGATAAACACAGATCATACCATCTTTGATATCATTAAAAAAACAGTCAAAACAACACTTCATAGAAAACTAAACGATCAATACAGATTCTATCAAACAACAGTCATAAGAACACTACATGGAAACCTAAACGGTAGATCAACACAGATACTACCAAACAACAGGCATTACAACTCCAATGTATATTCAAAACACGTTATCAATCAACGGAACGAGTGAAAAACAACTACTAGTATTATATTCCTGACTAGGTACAGGCATTTTCCAAAGAAAATGTTGTGTTAAACCTGGTTTTATAGCTAGCTAAACCTCCCACTTGTATGACAGTTGTTTATATATCTGTTTAATTGACAAAATTGGGTGAGCAACCCGAACAATTATAATAGGTAAATGGACAATTATTGGGATTCAGCAGCCCAAATTGTGTAAACATACATCACAAGTGACTAAAAAATCAAACATACATATAAATATCGGGCTGATATGGATAACTTTGGATAATCGATTTTTTTTAAAACAATCGTGCCACGCTAAAAGATTCAAACGTAAAAACACCAAAAGATTAAATCAGAAAAAAACGCCAAAAGATTAAAATAGAAGTACATGAAAATTTTAGTCGTTTGCACTTTTCATAAACAACTTATGTAACATAAATTAAAAGATCAAAGAACTGTGACACTCGGTCAAACCTATAAAAATAAAATCAAAAAAGTTCATTTCTAACGTATATATGTCTATTACAACATTAAATGTATCTTTTGATGGCAAATATAAATATTTCTCAATGAGAAAACAGCGGGTTACTTTTACTTATAGAGAAATGCTAAAGCTATTATGTAGTAAATTTAATTGGTAACGTATGTTTTGACCTAGTAACTCTATTTTCGAAATCGGTGAAGTGTCGAATAAAACGTAAATAAATAAGAAGCATCGTAGTTTTCCTATCATCAAAACTTGTAAATCTAGTTGGAATATGTCAACTAAATGTTGAGCGCTCACAAACATGGTAAAGCCCGCCATATTTTATGTGCCTGGTCCAAGTCAGGAGCCGGTAGTTCAGAGGTTGTCGTTGGTTCATCTCTGTCATATGTATTTTTCGATGTCCGGGCCTTTTATAGCCGACTATACGGTATGGGTTTTTCTCATTGTTGAAGGTCGTACGGTTGCATATACTTGCTAACATCCACTTCATTTGAACTCTGGTGGATAGTTGACTCATTGGCAATCATACCACACTTTTTTTTCATGAAAGAAAAAATGTGAAAGATCTGATATCTAAATAAGGAGAGATTGGGTGTATCGACACGGTAAGCGTCTGCTGCTACTTATCTAAGCACCCGTCATCGTGCGAATGTTGTCAGGATATCAGAATGGAGACTACTAATAGTACACAAATAATTACACAGCTTATTGATTAAAAATGTCTGAAGGTAGCAAGCAGTCCGTTATAATGGATACGTATCCATACCGTACTTTCAGATGAGAATAAGAATAAGAATAAGAATATTTATTATTCCAATCAAGGGCCCTTGATGGGCAGCATAACATGTACACATGAAACAATACATCATGATTTGTAACAGAAAAACATTTTTATATATTAAAATGAAACATTAAAAAGTTCAGACAGATGTTATTATCTTCATTCTATAAAAAATCACATACATTTAATTCCAGGCAGGATCAGAACTATAAAATCATTACAATTATCATTGTTATTACATACATTAATTTACATTTCGTCTAACATCTAGACATGTAATAATATAGCTCCCTAAATATTTAAGTATAGACAAATTTTCATTAGTAAATAACCAAACAAATTTTGCCTCATTTGAAAGATATATAAAATTGGGACAGATACAGTTTATCTCCTTGAAAAATATCTCCCTATCATTAATGTATGCTGGACAACTAGTAACAACATGTTGTTCATCTTCAACCAGATTTAGATTTAGAGTACATTATCTAAAGCGTACAGTGTCTACTGTCATTGAATTAACAAAAAAATCACCGCCAAACACCCTCCGTAAACATGAATGTTAATTTACTCTTAAGAATAATTATTCAGGCAATTCTACTAAAAACTAATAAAAAACTTTAGGCTAGACTCTCAAACTTTATTTACGTATATAAAAATGTATAAATTCACGAAACATTGAATTATGCAATGGATTTCTTTTTTTAGATTGTTTATACTGCCTGAATATCATACTGAGATAAAAACCACGTGATCATAACCACTCATTTCCAACTTGTCTGTTTGTTTCAATTCGATTTCGTCTTTCATTGAAAATTTGGTCGAATCTGGTATTTCTGTCAAGATTTGTTCTCCTGTCAATATTTGTATCAAATCTGTTCCTCCTGTCAATATTTGTATCAAATCTGTTCCTCCTGTCAATATTTGTATCAAATCTGTTTCTAATTCTACCATCTAAATTTGAATTTTGTCCTAGTACGTTTAGAAAATCATTACCCAAACTATCAACGAATCCTCCGCCTATTCCTTGGTTTCTATTTTGAAAACCGCCATCTTGCCACTGGGAGCTGCCCTGCCATCTATCTAAATTATCTACCCTGCCGCTATTGCAAATGTCAATGTCGCAGCCTCTACACCTTACACCATGTTCAAATCCAAAAGTTTCTTGTATACACTGTGGTGGTATTATCTGTAGGGTACACTGTGTATTGCATTGAGGCAGTTTGTTGCTAGGTAGCACGACACGGTCGTTGGGTATATGAACTGGATCTTTTACAAAACCATGGTCGTTGGGTATATGGACGGGATCTTTAAGAAACCCATGATCCTTGGGTTTAACCACGGAAGTATGTTTGGTCTTTTTGTGATAGCCATAGCTGCGACCTATAAAATGAAAAAAGATATTATATCTTTGTAAATTAAGCTTACAGTGTTGATGTTACAATTCATACTTACACGGTGAAAGAGAATAAAAAAAAAAAAAAAAGCAGCAACCGTGCGTCCGTAGCAGTCTAGCGACACCGCTGTTTCGAAGTTTGACACAATACAACCAAAGTCTTATAAAAAAAAAAGTTATTTACACGACTAGTCTCTATCAAAAACTTATAAACACTTAAACAAAAATATGAAAAATTATTGTCATTTTGAACCTAATGATGCCATTAAGATTTGTTATAACAGTTGATGCGCGTAAAAACATAGTGAATCATTTTTGTACTTTGCCACAATTATTTCTCATATATAGTTTATATATGTTTTCATACAAAATTAATACCTTCGATGTGTGCAGATCTAATGCATATTCATACCGAGAGCTAATTATTTTTACTGGTTTTTTTTCTTATTAGAAAAATTATCTATAACTTAGTAGGTTATCAATGTTTTTTCTTTTTCCTTTTTATTTTGTTATCTTATTTATTCATTTACTTATTTCTTCATTAATTTCAAAAAGACCAAAACAAATATTAATTGATTGTTTCAAAATAACTTTTGTTATGTGTTTTGTCCCTACACATGAATTCAGATTACATATTCACAAAATAATACATTACCATTACAGACATAGTAAATCATACCTTGAACTGAACAGAGAGAAACAACTAGAAGTGTGCAACAAATAAGTGACTTCATGTTAACTATAGATTGTAAACTGATACTCAATCTGCAAAACTGTGCCTCTTTTATACCATACAAAATTTCCTTAATCAAAACGCAAACACAGTGATTGGATTATTTTGGATGAAAATTAGATTTTACGTCATTGAATTTGACAGACAATAACACCTATATTGTCATTGTAACATTTTTATGACATTTTTTATGGATTACGGACAACAATGAGCGAATACGGTATTAGTAATGTGTAATGGGTGACGTATGAGATATAGGAACCTACACTCCCTCACAGGTACAAGTTTCCCAATTCAGCGGTTATTTATCGTCCTGATCTTTTTTTCGTACGTTTAAAGGGCGCTATTTCTTGTTGGATGATTGACAAGAAGTTCGATTGGCCGAACTAACTTTTGTCTACGATTCATTAGTCGATCTATCACGATTTATTTAGAATATTTTGATCTTGCCTCTGATAGATAGGTCAAGTTATCCGTCATTTGCAAGTTGCCATAGTGCGGGTATACAATCCGTTGGCTCTGTGATTTTGCTGAAATAACGTTCACTCAAACGAACACTGAAAACGATCGGTCGTTTATGGTTCATTTTATTATTGTATATATACTAGCGGAAAAAGAAACATTTGCATCCCAAATAAAACTGTCTTAATTATAAAGTTTTAAGTTATAATTGTTCACCATCTTGTTAAAATAATAAATTTGGAGATATCCATTGGTACTCATCTCTGCGCGATAGGTTGTTCATGAATCGTAAGCACATCCTCAGTTTTTGCGTGCACGAAACTGTTTTTATGAGTGTTTTGTGGAATATGTTTTTTTAAACTAGACACACCTTTTCGCGCGGATATGAACAAATGAAATTGAGAATCTCTATGCTCACAGAGATCTGAGTTTAAATAATTCCACAGCATTTTTCTCACGGACACTCCAGTACAGAAAAACCAAATAGCAGTCTGTCTTTGTGGTGACGAGTTCTTTAAATCTAATTACATCCGCTACGATTCATTTATATGGCGAATTCAGGTGATAATGTCCAGACATCGAAATAACATCGAGATTCAAATGCGTTTCCGGTGGTAAGTTCGACCGAAAAAAGACATCGCTCAAGTTTAATATTTGTTCCATAAATCAAAACAAATGTCGAAAAGAATTCAAGATAATTATTCTTAAATGATAAAATGACGATATAATGTAACCTTTTGACAAAGATTTTAACATTCCAAGTCAGCAGTTTTGTATTTTTTTTTTCTGTCTTTCCGTTTCTTTTTTTTATAGTTTTTTTTCTTCTGCTATGCCAATCTGTAACTGCTTCCTTTGTTTTCTATAACTAAAGTGTTATTGTTTATGTGATTGCTGTCATTATACATGTGTTTCGTATATGTTAGGAGAAAACTTGATGTAAGTTATGATAGTTATAATAACTTGTGTACAAACGTACTGCTTGATATCATTAAATTCAAATTAATGACAAAGAAGCATGTGTTCGTGGACCATGACGAATTAAACAAAAAAGACATCTCTTACCTTTCAACATTCTAAAGCTATAAACTTTCTTCAATTATCTTAATCGCAAAGATGTTAGATTATGTTATGTTAAAAAATAAAATTTATATCCAGAAATGCACATTGTTGCCTTGTAGTGAAGTCGTTCGTTGAAAGTTCGCTTGGGAAAGTTGTTCCTACCAGGTACTGTAGTTGTATGCTTTTCATAATATTGGTGTTCTATTATTATCATTGTTATAATTATGGTTTACTTTTGGGTTTTCCTAACCATTCTCTTTGGTTTCATTGTCTTGTTTACGACCTTTACTTACAAATGGCTTGAGATCAGTTTCTGATAAGATTTATACTTCTTACCCTTTTTTTATTGAATGCTTATCAGTTCAGAGAACAATTAAGATAACCATTCCATTGGGTTGCTATACGGGTCATTTTCAAAAAATGTCGAATTTTCAGTACACCCATGCTAAAATTTGTATTTCTAATGGAAATTTCAGTTGTAATGGTTTAAATGAAAGCTTGTCGGATTTATGATTCAGAACATCGATAATAAACACGATTTGCATCTATTTTGATAAGATTAAAATGTATTTAAGTCCGATTTTAGGGGTATTTGTGTGCGTACAGTGTCAGAAAAACACATTGCAAATGATTTTTACCCGATTTTCTGATCGCCTTGATATCTACAAAAGGGACTTTTTAAGAACGTTAATAATTACTCTAACGAAAAATCGTAGCTTCTTAGTCATTATATGTAACATATTATCTACAAACTAAATTCAATCAGCGTACGGGAGGTTCATGTCCATCCTGTTACCGCTACTTAAATCAGCCGTGATATTGTTCTCCCTATGAATATCGAATCAGTCAATGTTGATTTCAAAAGTTCAAAGTTACCTTTACATTTAAAACACCACGTTTCTTGTACGACAGTGTAGAGAAAAGAAATTTTAAGACATTTAGTGAAAAAAAATAGAGGGTACTTTTTTTCATGTCTATGCTGTTACCAACAATTTCGATTAATTACACCAACAGTATACTTGTAAAAAGTGCAATATCGTGTTGGAAATCAAATTCACAACAGAAAACCATAATCACTTCACCAAAGGGAGTAGTCATTTCACAACAGCATTCAAAAATGAAGAAATTTGTCTATCCTGTTATGTCTATCCTGTTACTATGGTTGCTATGGTTACAGTAACAGGATAGACAAATGTAGACAGAAACGTCGTTAAAAAAATTATCTTAACATATAGTTGCAAAACGAATGAAATATTTCGTTGTTTGAACTCATCTTAAAGTTATAACGTCTTATTCTTCCCAATTAAGCAGTTGCAGGTGCAATACTGATATCGGTAACAGGATAGACAAAAAGGTAACAGGATAGACTTTTATATAGTGACATATCGTAAACGTACGTTCCTGTTACCAATGAAATAAAGAGAAAAGTAAACTAACTTATGAGGGATTTACTTGATGTTGGGTTTATTTAAAAGAGAGAAAAAAATGCCGAACAATATGAATTGCTATCTTAGACTTGCATTACTGGTGGTAATTTTTACAACCTTTGAAAACCAATTTTTAGAGGCATTTCTCAGTACAACCTGGAAAATTGGCAAATAATCTATTATTTTACAGAATGAATATATATAGAAGTTTATTCTCTTGAAAACCTTCTAATTGGCTACGTAAAACAAGCTTAAAATTTTATCTAAACCTTTTCTTAATAACCCAAAATTTCTTTTGAAAATGGTAACAGGAGAGACAAAATATTGTACCACCTATCAAAAAATGTTTCAAGATATTCTTGTATGACATTATTAAGATTGCATCTTTTAACATGTTGTTCTTTAAGTACTGTTTGTTTTGATTTGCTTATGTAGAGGGTTGTTTGAATAAGTAACTTTTAATAAATTTTTCAATTTCAAAATTCGACATTTTTTGAAAATGACCCATACATTGTCATATTTCTGTTTGACTCAAACTTTTTTTTTATACAAATATACTAAAGCTTTTACACCTAATTTTGTGATTTCTATTACAATTCATAACAGTACTAATATAGTATTACTAATGGTAATAATTGTTTTGTGGTTCGAAGTCATTAGATGAGAATAGTACTCATAGCTTGGTTGTAACGGCGGAAATAATAATATAAGATAAAGACGTTTATCACATATTTGTTACGAATACGTTGGGTTTTGCATATGTAATAACCTCAAAATTGCCCGGGGCAAAAAAGAGGTTTATAGAATAACTAATCGAAGAATTCAAATAGAGAAAAATATTCAACGAGTGACCGAACAACACATTAATTCACGAATGCGCGTAGCGCATGAGTTAATTATCAGTGTTGTTCGGTCACGAGTGGTAAGTTCGACCGAAAAAAGACATCGCTCAAGTTTAATATTTGTTCCATAAATCAAAACAAATGTCGAAAAGAATTCAAGATAATTATTCTTAAATGATAAAATGACGATATAATGTAACCTTTTGACAAAGATTTTAACATTCCAAGTCAGCAGTTTTGTAATTTTTTTTTCTGTCTTTCCGTTTCTTTTTTTTTTATAGTTTTTTTTCTTCTGCTATGCCAATCTGTAACTGCTTCCTTTGTTTTCTATAACTAAAGTGTTATTGTTTATGTGATTGCTGTCATTATACATGTGTTTCGTATATGTTAATGTTAGGAGACAACTTGATGTAAGTTATGATAGTTATAATAACTTGTGTACAAACGTACTGCTTGATATCATTAAATTCAAATTAATGACAAAGAAGCATGTGTTCGTGGACCATGACGAATTAAACAAAAAAGACATCTCTTACCTTTCAACATTCTAAAGCTATAAACTTTTTTCAATTATCTTAATCGCAAAGATGTTAGATTATGTTATGTTAAAAAATAAAATTTATATCCAGAAATGCACATTGTTGCCTTGTAGTGAAGTCGTTCGTTGAAAGTTCGCTTGGGAAAGTTGTTCCTACCAGGTACTGTAGTTGTGTGCTTTTCATAATATTGGTGTTCTATTATTATCATTGTTATAATTATGGTTTACTTTTGGGTTTTCCTAACCATTCTCTTTGGTTTCATTGTCTTGTTTACGACCTTAAGTTACAAATGGCTTGAGATCAGTTTCTGATAAGATTTAGACTTCTTACCTTTTTTTATTGAATGCTTATCAGTTCAGAGAACAATTAAGATAACCATTCCATTGGGTTGCTATACATTGTCATATTTCTGTTTGACTCAAACTTTTTTTTTTACAATATACACTAGTAATGTTTTGGGGCCCTTTATAGCTTACTGTTCGGTGTGAGCCAAGGCTCCGTGTTGAAGACCGTACTGTGACCTATAATGGTTTACTTTTATAAATTTTGACTTGGATGGAGAGTTGTCTCATTGGCACTCATACCACATCTTCTGATATCTAAAGCTTTTACACCTAATTTTGTGATTCTATTACAATTCATAACAGTACTAATATAGTATTACTAATGGTAATAATTGTTTT